AAAAAAAAAAAAAAAAAAAAAAATTTTGTCTACACGTGCTGTTTGCTGATTAATAATTACATAATAATTGGCAGATGAATGGACCATCTTGGCGAGTTCCATTAGGACGACGAGACGGAAGAGTGTCTAGATCATCAGAGGCCTTGGCAAATTTACCCCCTCCTTCTGCCAACATCACTCAACTCAAAGCATCATTTCGCTCGAAGGGTTTAAGTGATAGAGAGCTAGCAATCTTATCAGGTAAATTCCAAAAACTCACTAAATAAATAAATAAATAAAAATTTATTATTATTATTATTATTATTATTGAGGTATATTTTAGTTTCTTCTCCTAAAATCAAACTTTCTTAAATAGAATTTATATAACTTTTATGGGTAAGAATTACAAATTAAGGGAATGATCCTAAATATAGGATTAGAAGTAACTCTTTCCACTGATACTATTAAAATATTATGAAAAATAATCTCAAACAATTAGGAAAAATGTTATAAATAAATAAATAAATAAAAATTTATTATTATTATTATTATTATTATTGAGGTATATTTTAGTTTCTTCTCCTAAAATCAAACTTTCTTAAATAGAATTTATATAACTTTTATGGGTAAGAATTACAAATTAAGGGAATGATCCTAAATATAGGATTAGAAGTAACTCTTTCCACTGATACTATTAAAATATTATGAAAAATAATCTCAAACAATTAGGAAAAATGTTCAGGAGAAAATGTTCTTCTGCTTATATTTTTATGAGTATTCGATACTCATCACTCATGACATTATTTCATTTGCCATATTCATTGTGGTTGCTTATTTGTCCACACCAGTTTAACTTACTCCGAATCAGAAGCTCTAAGCCAAACAAATATTTTAGAGATACAGGGATCCCCATTAACTGACCTTTTTTATCCTTTGTAGTGACTTGATGAATTCAATTAGTAGATCGTTTTAGGAATGACTTCTCAAAGTCAAGATGCTATTTAAAAACTAAAACATACAATTTCCTTTCAGGAGGGCATACCATCGGTATTTCTCACTGCTCTAGCATCTCAAATCGGCTGTACAACTTTACGGGCCAAGGTGACACAGACCCTTCATTGGATCCCAACTACGTTGTACACTTGAAGAGGAAATGTAGCCCCACAGACACAACTTCCATCATCGAAATGGATCCTGGAAGTGCCAGAACATTCGACACCAGTTACTACACACTTGTAAGGAAAAGAAGAGGATTATTTGAGGCCGATGCAGCACTTCTGAATGACAATGCAACACGAAATTACGTTCTACGGCAGGGAAATTCAGGTGGATCAAACTTCTTTAATGATTTCGCTGCTTCAATGGTGAAGATGGGAAGAATTGGAGTGATTACAGGCAATAGAGGTGAAATCAGGAGGATATGTTCAGCCATTAATTAATATAACTCTTTTCAATTAATTCATTATTATTAATTATTATTTATTATATGTTCTTTATTTGGTTGATTGAGTGCGGTTTAAATAAATTATGGCCATTGTGAATGTAATAAATGATTTATTTATCCTCTGTTCACATTATTAGTAGCTACCTTGAAGTTTCATGTTGGAAATTATTGTTGTGTGCAAGCAGTTCAATTATGCAACTGCAATATGAGAAATGTTATTGTTCCTTTTCTTCCTCTATCTTTTTATCAATTGTAAATTGGCTTGGCTTTACTGTTGTTTATTGTGTCCGACTCGTCCAAAAGATAAATAATTGTTGATTTTGCTAATGTTGGAAATTTATATGCACATTAGAATTTAAAATAATATCTCTGTTCCCAACAAATATCTTCTTTGTATTTAGAGAGAAATTGTAATAAGAGTTATCCTTTTTTTTTTTTTGAATTCTGCAAACTCAATTGCTTATATTGAATACAAACAATCATGATCTGCAATCCACAGTTGTTCAATTATCCAAACTCCAATGAAAATCCCATAGGGAATAAAAATGAAAGAATTAGGATTTCTCTTTGCTTATGCTAACAAGGTAACAATTGCCTTGTTATGTTTTCAAGCCCTAACGGCTTATTAATACAAGTTTAAGTGGGGTTGGTTTCTCCCTTGAGCTTAACCTGGCCCAATATTTAATTAATCTAATTAATTAAACTTGAGCCATAAATTAATTAATACAATTAATTAACTTGAGCATACTAACAAGCAACTCAATTAATTAATTATAAAAATGTCCAAGATTTTTTAATTAATTAATTAGTGACATTATTTTTCTAGTTCTCCTTTTAAGTATGATCCATTAGATTCCCGATCACGATGCTTAATGATATAAATTATTATTATGATTTAATCGCAATCGATAAATTAAAATACCCATTTTAATTAATTTATATTCGTCGTCTCTGATTGACATTTACCAATATGACAGTGTAGTATATGCAATGAAAAATGTCAGGTTGTATGACAAAATCAATCTTTTTAATTTACAGTGAAACTCTAATCTTTTTGTTAATATGATTCGATTAATTACCAGATATGAAAACGTGTCAATTTTGATCATTGATCATATCTTTCATCCCACTCTTAAGTCAATATAAGTCAAAACTCTATTCGAATTATGAGCATACCTTAGCCAAGGATTTTGATATCAATTTAACTGAATTAAATGTAGATTACAATGTCTTACTATTTAAGCGTGACAAATTCTCTATTGATCATCCACAACTTCATATGACTACTTGAACGATGCCGTATTAGCAACTCATGACAAAGCAACATCCAATATCATCAAAGTGTGACTGTCCCCATATAAAGCACTATGACAACCTAAAGTCAAAGGACCAATTTCACTATTGAATATTAGAGATTAACCAATGACATTAAGATAGTTAACCAGTAGGAATCTAACTAGTGGGTCTCTAAAGTTTTGTTTTATAACAAAACATTCACGTGTTTTTTTAGGTTTTACTACACTTTAACTTGTAAGATCAGATACTTACAAGCACGGAATGTCATACATGATGATCTATTCGTAATAACGATATCTATATCATTACTTAAGACTACGAATGATATAAGATTCAATGATATATAATTTATATATCAGAATCACAACTCCGTGTGATTAAGTAATTCCTAAGCCTTGAATCTTCGAACTCTATTACTTAATTTATTATAATAGTAATTCAAATAAATAATAGATTTTGTCATAAATAAAATGCATTAGTTATATTAAATGTATTCACGTCTAAGATTGATTGAACCTAGGGTATAACACTTACAGCTAAAGATGTATTGAAATAGTTGATCTCAATTTTAAGTTTCATTGAGCTCTGATGTTGTTTGGTTGAATAACTTTAATCAATTGAACCTATTAAGTTACTAACACTCTCGAAAATATTTAGACCAAAATATGCGACATTAATCAATAACAAGTAATGAGTCACCTAATTATTGTCTCTAAATGATTAAGTTTGTTGACCTTAAAAATACATCAACAGAATCTCGGCTACTTTCCCTCCACGTAGGTCCCACCTAACTTGAACGCCCTGTTAAGAGGATAAGGCCACTGATCGAGAAAAATATCCTATGACCGTTTGTACTCCAACGATCAAATTAACGGCCCGATACGAAAAATATAAGTGCAAGAGTAGAAGAGAGAATTTAGCTAAGAAAAGAGTAACACACACGCACACGTATATAAATGAAAAATGGGCCAAGTGGAGTTAATGGGCTTAGTTTAAAGCCCAAGACAATGTTGTTCAATTAAATAGGCCAAAACAATTGAATAGTCGATGCCAAATCGGCATATATATGACCCCATCCATTTGAGAATGTCACGAAATTTATAGGTGTAACTCCCCAAGTCTGAGTCATACATTTATGTACGGGTCAGATTTTGAAATAAAAATTGTCAATAGGTGAGATCTTACAGATTGTCTTAGAAATATGACGAGCTCCAATGAGTGAGAGCTTACTGACTGCCTCAAAAATATGGGTTTCCCAAATAGATGAGGGCTTACGAACTGTTAAAAAAATATGCATTAGTCCCAAATAGGTGAAGACTCACAAATTACCTCAAGAATAAACACTGTTCCAATAAGTAAGCTTACAATTTGCCTTGAAAATATCAGTGAAAGGTTGAATGAGCGAGGGATTATAGAATGCCTCGAAAGGTTGACAATATCATAATTTTGACAGTATCTCATATGTAATATGAACTAAACTAACCTATAATATAACATAATATAATATAATATCTCTACTACCCATGTATTAAAAAAAAAAAAAAAAGGATCCATTTGCCCTTCAAATTACTCACGATTAAAGTGAATAATGACAAATCAAATTTCCCCAATACATAATATGCCAAGAGTCCGTCATTTAAAATATAATGTGGGAATGGTATATCATGAATCGTAGTACATCCTATGCGTGTACAGCTCAATGTAAAAATATTGCTATTGTTAAGCAAGTAACATATTAATTAATGTAGATAATGTGATATGATTATTGGCTGTAATGTAAATAGTGCTATGACATGTCAGCAGTAATAATATAATAATACTAAGATACTATTATCACAATAGTCCTCTAAGTCCAGGTATAAATATCTATATCATGGTTGAAGTTAAGAAAATAAAACCTTTAATGGGAAGCCTTTAATTCTGCAAAAGCCTTAATTTGAATGTTTTGTTGTTTTGAAGATATTGAAGTGATGTATTAATGTGGCCAAAATTTAATGCATAGACGAGGCTCTAAAGTGGTTAAGCAACGCTTCAATTTTGTCAAAATTTAAAGTTTATGCTGAAGTGTGGATGAAGGAATTTTTACGGAGGTTTTAATGTAAGCTCCTTTTTTATGGTCATTTCATAATTTCTTAAGTTTCTCTGTATTATGAGTGGTTCACCCATTTAGAATCTTCTCTCATAGTATTCAGCTTCATTTATAGGAGGTATATGACGCCAACCTTGGAGAATTTAGAGGCGGTCACTTTTGAGATCTACTTTTTCTCTAATGTGTTCATGCTTCTTTGTACAGTGAATGATTCACACATGTAGAGGTGTCTCCAATTGGTGTTCAACTTTATTCATAGGAGGCATATGATGTCAACTCTGGAGAATTTAGAGGTGATCCTTTTTGGGATACACCTCTTCTTCAACGAATTTATGCTTTCATGCACGTTGGATGGTTCATTTATGCAGAGACTTCTCCTTGGTGTTCAGCTTCATCCATGGAAGGCATATGAAATGTTGAAAATTTTCGATCGATCACTTGTTCTTGCCAGTCGATCACCATGCGTTCGACCAACTCTTCTGGCCGATCGACTGCCTGGCAGTTTCAATTTTCTTACATTTTAGTCCCATATATTCCGAATTGAAGGTTTTGAAAGGCATGGACTTTTGAAAAAAAAAAAATTTTAACTAATTTTTCACGATAAAATATATTTTTCAAGTTCAAATATCATTTTAAAAATCATTTTTATATTTGATCAAATCATTACATTAAGATGACTTTCAATGCATAAAATTGTTTTTATACATAGAAGGATTTTGAGTTTAAGCATTCATTACCAATTATCAAAGTGTTAGAGTACTTTTACACTTTATCCTAAAAAATAAAAAATAAATAAAAATATCAAGTCCTTGATCTTGCTCTGAAGTTTGGCTCTTAAGTTCTTAATTGTGTGAATTCGATCTTGACCTCCTTGAGTCTAATTTGCAATGATAGTTTTGATCTTTTGATGATCATTGATCAATTTTTCATAGTATACTTTGAAAAACTATAATCACTTAAATACAATTTGTTCGCAAATAAGATTAACTTGTTTGTTATGATCAAAGCTTTAAGGTTATAATCAACCATAGGTCAACACCTTTTTCCTTTTTGGTTACGACAAGCAAGATTATTTGCAAAGTAAAATTGAATAATTGATAACGAATAAAAATCTTAAAATTTTGCATTTAATCCATATATTCCTCTATGTTTTATAAACCAATGGCCATTCACTTTAAGCACACATTTATCATTCACGTCAAGCATATCATTTCATATAAGGCACATCATCTCATGTATTTCATCAAGCATATCATCTCATATATTTTTCCCCTTTTATCATAAGAAAAAAGATATAGCATTTAATATAAAAACACAACCATAGGAAACAACAAAAGATTCCCCCTTAAATTAATACATGAAGCCTAATCAAAAGGGTCCAAAATATTGGATATCGCATGCATAGGCAAATCAACGGATGAGTTTACGAAAGGTAAAGATACAAAGAGCTTAGATCAGCACAAGGGCTAAAATACACATATGCACAAAGTCATACCTAAGACTTTGGATGAGGAGGTGGTAGGAAAAGTTCATCGAACCGAGCATATATAGCATTTTGCTGAGCCTGCATTACCTTTTATTGAGCATTGTAGTAAGCATAAAAGGCACCTTCCTGAGCCTGCATCGTTGCTTGTTGAGCTTGTATTGCATCTTGTTGAACTTGCAGTTGATGAAGTATCCCGCCAAGCGTATTGATGGAGGATGTAAGTGAGTTGATGGTTCCATTGAAAAGTTTTTAATGATCCTCGATAAGAGTAAAATCACCAGAAGTTGGAGGAGCACTCGATCCCAGGATGTCATTTGAAGGATTAGGAACTAGTGGTACGCCGTCGTTATGATCATTACCTACCTCT